GCAGTGTACGGCATATAAACTAATGACAATGTATGGTATGGTAATGGTTGGCATACCTTCTTCACCAATTCCAATAAATCCTTTAGAAATCCTTTGAGTTCTTCGTTTTCAATGGTTCCGTTCTTGTCCTAAAGAATGTCCCAATTGTTATATAACTGATATATTTAGCCATCAATTCTAGCCATCACTTACTCTATCATATAATGCGAAAACCCGTTCGATATCTTCTTTATTAAGTTTTGTCGCGCCTTTGAAGGCGTTTCGACACAAGAAGTTTTCTTTCACTGGAAGAAGCCTACCATCACATCAACCAAACAATCACTTCATATTATAACTCAATTTAACAATATATTCAATCATATATTATATTATTTAAATTGATATTTATGTTAAACTTAAGATAAATGTTATTTTATATACATTTTTAAATTAAATTTTAATTTAATAATAACTGAATGTATAATTATATTTTAATGCTATCAATAACGAATTTATTTGGATTTAAGACAAGATTTGTGGCAAAATAATAATAAATCGAAAAAATGAATCGTTTTTATAGCAATTTAGTGTAAGGAATGGTTTTGACGGCAATCTCTATATACAGTATTAGGTCTACTCTTATCTCTCCTATAATACTGTATAAGAATAACATTATCTACAAATTGATTCGTCGGACTATTCCTCACATCAATGCAAACCGTTTTGGCTAAACATCTAAACGATAATATATTTATCTCGAAGAATGAGGCCTCGATTGCAGACTAATCTTTCAATTTGTTAACTGATTTTGACAATTAATGTACGAATGAATACAAGACATATAAGAAAAGGAATAAAGATGCAAAACCAAAGGCATTGGTTTAACTACAGTATACATTGTATGTATTGGTGAAATCACTCACTTTGCCATTTCACTCAATTGTAGTTTTCCGTCTTTATTAGAGTCAAAAATATTGAGTAAAGTGTCCGTATATTCAATGAGTTTGTCCTCATCTATTGCTTCGCGTTTCGCTTCTTTCAGCAAATCTTTTAGAAAGTTCTGTCAAAAAGAGTCAACAAATGAAAAACACTTCCAAAAAGAATTTTAGAAATTTATTAAATTGTTCACATTATATACTGTAATGGTTTAGTTGTCCTGTAATTAATTAGTTTTGGTATTTAATACCTTTAACTCATCCGCTTCTATATACCCACTGCCGTCGGTATCATATTCTCTCCAAATCTAATTAGTTGTCATTAAAAGTAATTTAAACTTTAATTAAAGTGATAATAAAACTCTCGGCCGAGTCTTCAAACCTTCATAAACTCGACGCTCGATTCCAGAGGATTATCGAAACGGAAGAGAAGCAAAAAACTCTCTTCGAGTGGCAGGAGTTGTGCCAACTATTGGTTAAATTCAATATTAATTTCAATTGAAATGTTTGAGTAAATCTAATCCGTTAGTGAGTGGGGAGTCTATTACACACACTATATGTGCAAATATGTCTTTATTTTGCAAACAAACACTTACTTCACGTATTTCTATCTTTCCATCCCTATTGTCGTCGTACGCCTCCATAAAACACTCCTTCAGCTCCGCAAACATCGATTCCGACACCACCTAAACGTGTATTTTTATACATTATACTATCATTTATCAAATATCAAACTTTTCATTAATTATCTAATTAATAAATTTTTCATTAAAAGATCATTAAAATCTTTCAAGTTTTTCAAAAACAAGTTAATTATCATAATTTAATAACTCATATATTGTATGTCTGCCTCTTTAGTCACTATCAGTGATAAGTGTAATTCGAGTTTCAATTTATTATAATTGCTTTCTATAATGTATAATACTGTATGAGAGAAATACATAAATTTGTTGATTAAGTTAAATGAAATCTTTATTGTTATTCATTGCAGTCGAAAGTAATTTAATTAATTGAAATAAATTATTTTACTATAGTTTAGACATTATTAAAATAGCTTTGAGAGACATTAAACGTTAAATTCTCTGTTTAATGATTAAAACATAAATATAATAGTTTAACATATCATAAGAGGACTACCTATTAATGAATATCATATTTTAAATTATTATTTGTATTGTTTTCAAAGCGTTTTCATTAAATATTCTGCAAAAACTATTATTAATAAATAATAAAATGGATTTCAAAATATATTGTTAATAGAATATAATAATATTTAAATAGATATATAATTAATATATTATAATTATATTATTGGTATAGATTTGTGCAAAAACTGCTCGAATATAATGCAATCTTACGATTCTCTCGACAAATGGCTTTCATTATTATTAGCGACAAATCGTTCATTACATGCAAACTATGATTGATATGATGATAGAGTTTAGTGGGCATTACCTCCGGTCCGACATCAGTAGTGTTGACAGAACTGACGAATTCCTTAAGGAAATTATCGAGTTCTCGGCCTTCGATGAAACCATTTCCTACAAAATAGACAACAATTTCGCACCAATTAATTGCCGAAATGCAAACACAACTACTTTTTATGCGTTTAATGAGCAAAAAAATAATTAATTTTATTTTACTGTAAATTATTGGTCAGTGATTGTGAGATGACATTAAATAAGAGATATGTTTTGGTGAAATCGTGTCACCGATTGCACAATAAAGGTATTATAAAATACATTTGTCTTCATGTGAGTCCGTTATTGTGTTCATTAGAAGATAAATTAGATTAAATGCAATCGATATATGGTTTTGGAGTGAATTTCTATGAGATTCTCATGCGGTTTAGGTTTTGCGTGAAAATATACAACGAATCGCTTGAATAGAGAAAAGTGCTCAACATTTCTATGAATTCACTTCTATAGACAATATTATTGTTAGCCCTTATGTACTGAATATATTGACAACAAAATCGTATTTTATATTATACTGTGAATTATTCAATAGCTTTGAAACGACATTCACTTGAGAGACAAGAGATCAGTGTATGTCATGTCAATGATGTCAATGTTTTCATATAGAAATTCAATGCTTTCAATGCTA